ATAATTGTTATAATTTCCAAACTAACCCAATAAACATGTTATTTGAAATATTATCGAGATGACCACGGTACTTAAGCCAGGGTCCGGCGTAACTGATATGATCTGTAGTGCATTTGCCCTTCACTTTAATGAGTACAACCATATCTGTTAAGTCCTTTCCGTCCCATTTATTAAAGGGTGTCAACAGTTGTAAGCGATCGCTCGTAGGGCTGACAGTGATCGTCACATCCGAGCCATGACTGGGCGGCGGTTGGTATGTGTTTTCGCCCAAATCAAAGCCACGCGACGGCAACTCATCGCCAGACGGCTCCTCCAGTTTAAACTTCTTGCCGTCAGCGCCGGTCAGTTCGTCGGTCAGCGGATTAAAGTCCAGTCGACCGGCAATAGAGAGGGCGGTCACCAATTCGGGTGACGCCAGGAAGTGATGGGTCGCCGGATTGGTATCATTACGAGCGGTGAAGTTGCGGTTAAACGACGATATGATTGAATTCTTGACCCCCTTTTTCACATCCTGTCGATCCCATTGTCCAATACAAGGCCCGCAAGCGTTGGCCAAAACAACGGCACCAAATTGTCGGAACTGTTCCGCCTGTCCGTCCCTCTCAATGGTGGCCCGAATTTGCTCCGATCCGGGGGTTACAGTAAATATCGATTTGGATTTCAAGCCGTGTTTCATCGCCTGCTTAGCGATACTAACCGCTCGACTCATGTCTTCGTAACTACTGTTAGTACAGCTGCCGATGAGTCCCACTTTTAGGTCAATGGGATAGTCGTTTGATTTGGCATTTTGGGCCAACTTTGAAATGGGATGCGACAGATCAGGAGTGAAGGGTCCGTTCACGTGGGGCTCCAATTCAGACAAATTGATTTCAATCACGTGATCGTATTTGGCACCGGAATCGGCGCTCAGCAACTCTGGCGTCTGGTCCGCGTAATCGGCAATCTCTTTACGATTTGTGGCCTTCAAGTAGTCTCTCATTCGGCTGTTGTAGGGAAACACAGAAGTGGTGGCCCCGACCTCTGCGCCCATATTACATATGGTTCCCATTCCTGTACAGGAGATGGAGTCAACTCCGGGCCCGAAATACTCGACGATAGCACCGGTGCCTCCTTTTACAGTCAGAATGTCTGTCACTTTCAAAATGACATCTTTAGGTGATGTCCAACCGCTGAGACGTCCGGTCAGATGGACTCCAATCACATTCGGACACTTCAGTTCCCACGGAATGTCCGCCAATACATCCACAGCGTCCGCACCGCCGACACCAATGCAAAGGCCTCCCAATCCGCCACCGTTTACGGTATGGCTATCCGTTCCCACCAATAATACTCCCGGAAACGCATAATTCTCTAAAATAATCTGATATTTAAATAATAGAAATAAATTTACAATTTACCAAATTTATTATTTGACTATATACACGGTTTGGACTACTTATTATGGTGACGGCCCGAAGGTTTTCGGCTGGGGTATAAACCGACGTCGCCATGAGTTCTTCGATATCTGGAGAAACAACTATAGCTATCGAGCCCGGTTCAGAAAGACGCCATCGATCTGGGCTTCAATGAGATGATCGCAATGTATAGTCGCGGGAACGGCTATTTGGCTGCAGCGGTACTCAAGAAGCTATAGACCTCTTTGTTGATATCGATAGCTCGGGCCAAGTCTTTGACGCCATCGATCTGGGCTTCAATGAGATGATCGCAATGTATAGTCGCGGGAACGGCTACTTTGGACAGTCCGCTGGCAATGAACTGAAACATAACCATCTGTGCCAACGCGTCCTGCATTCCCACCCTATCGGGTCGAAGGCGTAAATAGCTTTGACCCCGAATAATGTCCTGATTGTTCGGGTCATCCAAATGAGAGTACAATATCTTCTCGGATAAAGTTAGCGGACGATTCAGTCTATCATATGTTTAGTTAATTAAAGACTTTCTCATACAAAATGTTTAAAATATTTGCAATTCATTACCTCTTTTTAACAACTTTTAAATTATTTTGTAGTTTTTCATAAGGAATATACGAGTCTTTGTCGAAACGACTTATCGGGACCTTAATTATAATAATTTGTTTAATACAAGTAACTGTAAACATATTTAATTATATTATAATTTATAAATCAAGAATTTAATTCAAACCTGTTTTGCACAACATTTGGATGTATTGTGAATGAGTCGGATCTGACCAAAAGTGGTTGCGTTTAAGAATTTCTATAAATTATTGCAAATAAAGTTTTATTTTTGTATTTCAAAACTATAACTAATTAATTGAATACAAATTAATGTTAAAAATGTTTAAACGAAAAGTGTATATTAAACACCTTTGATAAAGCGATAGCATTTAACTGAGACATAGTTTCTCACTTATGGTCTCAATTGAATTTCGAAAAAATTTATTTTAAATAATATTCAAAAAAGTTTTTTATCACAGAGTTAGAGAATATTCTTCGATACAAACTCTTGTCCACAAATGATGTCAAATGCAATTCTTTTCCAATGAGTATTGTATTTGACTTCTGAATAAATGTAACTTTAATTTTCAACACTTATATAATAAAAATCACTTCAAAATTTCAATAAGGTTTGTGAAAATTTCATAATATATTTCCAATGAGTCGTTGAAAAATTATCATTTATTACGAGTGTTTACAGATTGCTATGACTTCACACAGACTTTAGAGCAATCAAAATGTATATGTAATTAAAAACATTTACAGTAAGTATAGTAAAAACTCCATTCAGTATAAGATATGTTATCTCATGTAAATGAATAATCCTTGAAATGTGCCGGTGCAGTATACCTTGATCATTTTACTGGAATATTTCCAATATAATAGTGCCTATTATTTAAAACATAAAATTATAATTGTTATTTCCGAATTAATTCACTAGTTATGTGTTGACATGGTAATTTTTAAAATTATACATTTACTAAATGAATTTGCTAAATTGCTTTAAATGCATTAAAATAAAAGTATTGCTTATAAAGAGCTAAACAACACTTCATTGTGTAAGAGAAATATGTTTTACTTAAATGCTGTAAATATGCTGTAAATTAAGATATTGTTAGGTCTGGAGACGCGATAAGCAATACTATTACGTATGCAGTCTCCAGACCTAACATTATCGACACATTTTCGCTATTATTAGATTTCCCAACAAATTATGTAATAAACAGTAATTGAAATGAAACAGAATAATTTAGAAAAAAAATTTATTGATCAAGTTTTAATTTATATTTGAATTCATTGTGCGCAAAATATTACATTACCATAGTGGTTTTAATTAGTAGGGCATTAAATACTTAACTATGCAAACAAACGTTTCCATTTAATGTTCTACCATCGTTAAATTATTCGGTTAAAATAAATTATACTTTTTAAATCTCTTGTATTTAAGAATTTATAAAAAATATCTTAAAATATATAAAAAATATTTCTGTAAACTTTATGTTATATTATAATTGCATTTAAAAATTCATTCAACATTTCTTCTCATATTTTCAATCATTTCTTGATTCAAAAATATTTGTCCTTTCGATGAATAGATTGTAATTGAATTGATTTTATGACAATTGTTCACAA